GATTATGCTGACTTCTGCGGTCTTTTCCCATCTATCCATCTACCACTCCTACTCAGCTGCTATGGCTACCAAAAGCAAAGCCCCAGGGAGCAGTAGATTATCCATTACTATGTGGTACCCATGCCAATATTCCCTTTTCATCCCTACATGGATGATGAAGAGTTAAATTTAGTAATCTAATCAGCCTAGTTTCCAAAAAGTGAAACTTCAGAACCCTCACTCATAACCTCTAACCGAAGAAATTAAACATTTCAGAAGAATAGCTTCATAGGTGACCAGCAGACAAGAAAAGTTACACTCAAAAAAAAAGACTAGTCCATTTGCTCTTAAAATATTCTTTGAAAAGCCCGTTTGCCAGACAGATCAGACTTCTTTCCTTTGCCTCTAGGCCACAAAATTTACTACAGTTAAATAAACCTTTATTACTACCCCCCTGTAAATTGACCCAGGCCGGCAGAACCTACCAAACTGGAGGAGAAGCAGGCTCCCTGTTAATGCTGACAAAGTTGGGAACTGGCAGTATGTAGTCTAAGATTATCCAGTTTGTGGATAAATCAGCCTCCTAGACAGCACAGGTCTTCCTTTCAACTCCTGCTGTGTATCTTCTGGCCATTTTCCTGTTCATTTAACAACTCTCCACCAGAAGGTAGGAAAGGGAAAGGCGATTAAATTCAAGCCAATTCCATCATTTGTTAGGAGCTGAAAATAAGGTTAGACGCTGGATAAACTGCACCCTTAACCCAAAACAGTCTCCCAGAAACCCTATCAGAAATCCAATGGGCTAAATGAATTTACCTAGTAAACACTAACAAAATGAAGGAATAAGCCTCATTACAATAGAGCCCCTCCTCCACTTTAACTGAGAAATGTTCATTTTGTCATCCCCTCCCCCACCACCAAAAAGCACTCAATAAAACAGAAGAAAATGCCTACATTTTACTGCAGTACTCAATCTCAATGCTATCCATGAAGATCTAAATATACAGTCACCTATTTCTTTAATCTGTTTAACTATGAGAAAGAAGAAAAGTTAATATACATTTCTAGTACTAATTTTCTGCTCTCAGAGCTTTAACCACTCAATAATAAAAAAAAAAAAAAAAAGAATATTCTACACTACAGAATATATATTCTGTAGTTCAAACCAAACTGGGACAGGTCCTCTCTGCTTTAACCTGTGAGAAACTCGTCAACATGATCAACAATTCATTTTTCTAGTCCTAGGTAGCATCAGATTAACAACTGCATTAAATTGTGGTCGCTTTCCAGTGTAGACAGCCACTGGAGGCTATACTCATTCTAAACTTGCAACAAATCTAGTTTTCAAAAGTAGTCTATATCCTCAGGCCAAGGCCTGAAATTATATAGTCTAAAAAAATGCAAAAGAAACCCTAAAGCCATTTATTTTAACACCAATTTGGCAAAGAACAATAGTAGTTTGGTTTTTTTATCCTACCCTACTGTCCAAACTAAAATATTTTTAAATTATTCTTTTAAAAAACTTCTCAAAAATATAGTAGTCTTTAAAAGAAACTATTCTAGGGAGCCTGGGTGGCTCAGTTCGTTAAGCGACTGCCTTCAGCTCAGGTCATGATCCTGGAGTCCCGGGATCGAGTCCTGCATCGGGCTCCCTGCTCAGCAGGGAGTCTGCTCCTCCCTCTGACTCCCCCCTCTCGTGCTCTCTCTCTCTATCTCATTCTCTCAAATAAATAAATAAAATCTTTAAAAAAATAAAAGAAAAGAAACTATTCCAGGGGCACCTGGATGGCTCAGTCAGTTAAGTGTCTTGCCTTCAGCTCAGGTTACCATCTCAGGGTCCTGGGATCAAGCCCCACATCGGGCTCTCTGCGGAAACAGGGAGCCTGCTTCCCCATCTGCCTGCCCCTCTGCCTGCTGTTCTCTCTCGTGCGCTGTCAAGTAAATAAAATCTTTAAAAAAAATAAAAAATAAAAAATATTCTAGAATCATACAGTTAATACACAAAAGACTAAATAAAAACAATTAAAAAAAAAACTTATCTTTACTATGTCCCTGACACAGTAAGGAAGTTTATTTCAAAAGACCAGTCAAGAAGGCTTTAGTAAGTGACCATTTCAAAAACTATTTTTTATTTCGCATCGCCTAGAAAAAGGATCCAGGGTCCAACAGTACACGGACTCCTTACTGAATGAATTCTAATTTATTTGTTGGGGGGGGAGGATTTATTGAAATAATTCTTAAATAGGGATAAGAATATATCCCTGATATAAGAAATCTTTTTTTTAATGTTTTAAAGATTTTATTTATTTGACAGAGAGGGAGAGAGCACAAGCAGGAGGAGCGGCAGCCAAAGGAAGAGGGAGAAGCAGATTCCCCGCTGAGTAGGGAGCCTGATGCGGGGCTTGATCTCAGGACCCTGGGATCATGACCTAAGCCAAAAGCAGACATTTATCGACTGAGCCACCCAGGTGCCCCAAGAAGTAACTCTTGGAGGGGGGAGGGGTGCACAGTATACTGAATTTCAAAATATAGTGAAATGATTTAATATAATCCCATAGCCTAAACTCTAATATCATTGAATTTTTTTTAATGAATTGTTAGTGTTGGTAAATTTAAAACCACCATTCTAAAACTTACAAAAATACAAAATCTGTTAATTATGCTGAGGCTGTTTTGCATTTTCTTTTTTTAAAGATTTATTTGAGAGAGCGAGAATGAGAGAGAGAGAGAGTACATGAGAGGGGGGAGGATTAGAGTGAGAAGCAGGCTCCTCGCTGAGCAGGGAGCCCGATGTGGGACTCGATCCCGGGACTCCAGGATCATGACCTGAGCCGAAGGCAGTGGCTTAACCGACTGAGCCACCCAGGCGCCCCTGTTTTGCATTTTCAAAGCCTCTGTAGGTAAGGCATATTTTATGGTAAAAATGTTTCCTACAACTCCTCTAGAAACATTACAGCTTCCCATTTATTCCACAATCCTCACGTCCAAAATGTAGTTCTATATGCTAGAAGCTGGCATATACCTTTTTTTTAATACTGACTGGACAATTAAGTCACTTCTATCAATACAGAAAATACCACTATAATTTAGGATCACAGGCAACCTAGATTACTGCTCATTTAAATGCAGAACCTGAAGCAACCTCCAGTGACAGGAGCTATAGTGTTCAATATCATTTTACATGTTACAAACAGAGGCTTCATCTTACATACAAACAATGAACCCGGGCAGCATTCTTCATCCTAAAGCCCCACAGATTGTTACTTCTTTAAGGGTGTTAGTACATAAGGCAACATAAGCAGTAAGTTCAGAAGCCCTTTCTTAATAGCTATCAACATTTGTTCAAGACAGTGAAAAGAAAACAATATTCCCATCACATTTTCCCTTTCTTCTGTTCATTTTATTTTCCTGCTTTGGCACCCAACAAGGATATGTTTCAAATAAAAATCTTAAAATAATTATTCCAAAGACCAAAGATACTCTAGAAACCAGTAAGAGTCACTGCCTCCCAGGAGCCCAAATTGGAGGGTTTAGAGGAGACTCATTTTTCAATGTTTGTGTACCTTTCCAGTTGGGTATTATATCTGGTATAACCTATTCTAAAGAGAGCAATAATTTATATTTTTTTCAAGAACAAACATTTCATGAACTTCCAGATTTCCGTTTAACAGTTTATGCGGCATTCACAAGACCTGTGTTTGGGGGTTTGTTGTCTTCTTTTTTGGGGGGGGTTCCATCATCCTCTATACAACCTGCTCCAACACATACTGAAGGTTTCTTGGAGCCAGGAACCAGTAAGGTGGATCCGAGGCCAGGCATTTAAATCAAGGAGATGCAGCAATCTCAATACTACTACCACTCACTCATCTCATTCAAATCCATTTAAACCCACTGCAGCAAGACAGCTGGTACTCGCCTTCCTGTTTCTTTACGGTACAGGCTTAATAACAAAAACAGGTTGGCTTTGAAGCGCTGCTCAAAAACTGCAAAAAAGGAAGTCTTCACATTCGGGAGGGGAAAAAAGAAGTTTTGACTTCAGGAGAATTTCATACCTTTCGTGTCATTCCATTTAGGAATCCCAAACTCTTCCTGCTTAAGGAGATTTTTGAAACGATGCTTTCTCCCTCTCACAACTGCTCTTTTGGTTAACTTTTCCACCTTAAGTGCCCTGAAACTAGAAGCAACTAAGCCTTCCAACGACTCATGGTTTTTTGGTTTTGGGGTCGTTTTTTTTTTTTTAAAGCATGTGCAAGACAATTTAAATCATTACAAACTGAATCAATGTATGTAAGGTTAGAGATGGGGACGGGAAAAACAGTACTAATAAAGACAGCCAAACCCCAAATTTGATCCACCAACTTCCCACTTGCCATTTCCCAACCTTCACACCAGAGGTAGCAAAATGCCTTTTCACTGAGAAAACTGCGGAGAACCTACCCGTGCCCAAAATGAAATTCCGCAGATAATGAGTTAAAATATTAAAAATGCCCTAGTGAAGGAGGAAACACAGCAACAAAATGCAGCCCGATCCTGAGTGCGACTGGGAGGCTGGCGTGGGGGTCGGTGGGGTCTGTGCGGTTTCCCCCGCCCCCTAATTCTTCAGAATAACTGCGAAGGAGCCGAGGCAGCGGGAGGAGGGGGACGCGGAGAGCGTTCTAAAGCAGCCCTAAGGGCTGGGAGAAGATAAAACTTTAGGGACAGGAAGGAAAAGCGGGTCCCCGCGGTCCCCCCAAACTCGTCGGGGTGACCCCTCCGCCCGGGGACCTCCTTGCACCCCCAAGCCGGCTGCCGCCCCACCTCGACTCCCCTTCCTCCGGCTGCGGGCCGCCCCGGACTGCGGAGAAGCAACGCGGCCCCGACACCCCGAAACTATCTCAGCGCGTCCCCCTCTCGGCGCGCCCCTCAGTGCCTCCGCGGAGCCGCAGGCACCGGCTCGCGGCAGCCCCGAGACTCGCCCTCCTTCCCTCCGCCTCGCACTCCACCCCCTCGCCCGCCGCCGCTCCTCCTTTATCTCCACTCACCGCCCGCCGCCATTTTCCTCGCAGCTCAGCTTTAAATCGGAAACTCGCCGCTCAGCCCGCAGCCGCCACCACTGCCGCCACCACCGACTCAGCCGCCGCGGCCGCCGCCGTCGCTGTGGAGGGGCTGAGGCGGCAGTGCCTGGAGCCGCGGCGCGGGGGCCTCCGGGATATGTAGTCCCGAGGCCACGCCCAGCACTACCGGTCCCAGGGGGCCTTGCGCGGCCTGGGCGCTAGGTGCCCCCGCCCGGCCCAGCTCCCGCGGCTCGAGGGCGTGGCGGTGTGGACCCTCTGGCCGCTCTGCCTCGATCACTGCCCGGGAGCTGCGGCGGGGTCCGGAAGACTAGACTGTTGCTCTGGCCCTGCCCTTAATCTTGTCATACTTGCCTTCGTCCAGTAATATCTAACATTTACGGAGCGTTTATTGTGTGCCAAGTTCTGATCCTCAAAACAAGCATCCTTTTGGGATCACTGTTATCCTCATTGTTCAGACGAGCAAACTGAGGCACAAGGTCAGAAGCCACCGGGTTGTTCATTAGATGCTAAAGCCACTGGGCGAAAGGTTGTTTGGCAACAGTATATTCACTATATATTCAGTCCCTAAGTATCATCCCACGGAGTAACTTGCTTTGCAGTGGACAGAACTGTCAGACACCACCTTAACCGGGCGATCTAATCACCAACACTATCGCTTAGCGTCACCAATAATGGATCTGATATTATGTGTCTCCTGATATGATGCAATGGGGATGGCATTATGCCTCCTCTGTAGAATCCTTGCCCAAATAATAGCTACCCTGAACCTAACTATGGAGAAACAATCAGACAAATCCAGAATGTGGGACAAATGCTGCAAAACACCTTTCCTGAGCTCTTAAAAATACCAAAGCGGGAAAGAGGTGAGAACAAACGCATTAGGTGAGCCTCGATTGGATCAAGGTTTTTTCCTTAATGTAAAAAAGGACTTCGAGAGGGAAATTTTAATATGGACTATATATTAGATAATACTACTGAATCAGTATTAAGTGTGTTGAGTGTGACTAGAACAAAATCACCGCTTTATGCTCCACCACAACCATTTCCCACCCGGACTGTGGCAGTAGCTTCCTCACTGTTCTCCCTGCTTCCTTCGTCCCAGCCTTTCAAACTGGAGTCCCTTCTCAACATAGCAGTCGGAGAGATCCTGGTAGAAACCAAGTCACTTTATGTCTGTCATCCAAATTCTTTGCAGTAACCTGTAAAGCCCCACACAACTTGTCTTTCCTGCTCAGTCATCTCTCAGTTCTTGTCCAACTCACTGCTATATTCCAGGTCCACTGGACTCCTCGGGGCCCCTTCAACATGCCTAGCACATACTGGCCTCAGAGACCTTGCATTTGCTACTTCTACCTAGTTCATTTTTTCCCCTGGAAAGTTTTTTTTTTTTTTAACTCACCACCCTGTTCAAGACCTGAGCTGAGATCAAGAGTCGGTCGCTTAACCTTAACTGACTGAGCCGCCCAGGTGCCCCTCCCCTGGAAAGTTGAAATCACTCCCTCCCTCATCTCCCCCATGGTCATTGTCCAAATATCACCTCTTCAGTGAGGCCTTCCCTGATTCCTCTACTTTATAAAGATTTCTTTTTAAAGATTTTATTTATTTATTTGACAGAGAGACACAGCCAGAGAGAGGGAACAGAAGCAGGGGGAGAGGGAGAGGGAGAAGCAGGCTTCCCGCGGAGCAGGGAGCCTGATGCGGGACTCGATCCCAGGACCCTGGGATCATGACCTGAGCCGAAGGCAGACGCTTAATGACTGAGCCACCCAGGCGCCCCTATTTTATAAAGACTTATTTATTTATTTGAGAAAGTGAGACAGAGAGCATGAATACACACAAGCCCAGGGGAACTGGCAGAGGAGAGAATCTTCAAGCAGACTCCCCACCAAGCGCTGAGCCCCACATGGGGCTTGATCCCAGGACCCATGAGATCATGACCTGAGCTTCAACCAAGAGTCAGATGCCCAACCGACTGAGAAACCCAGGTGCCCTGATTTCTCTATTTTAAATTCCTGACCACTGCAGTCCCAGCTTTCTCTATCCCTCTTCCCTTTTTCATTTCTCTCCATAGCACTTTTTATCATTGGAAATACCATATATTTTTGTTTACTTATGGCATTTAATACCTCTTTTCCTCACTAGATTGAAAACTCTGTGAAGGTAGGACTTCTATCTCTTTCATTCTCTGATGTATCCTCAGTACCCACTACATAGTTTAGCAATAGTACTCGCTCAGACTGTATATGTTACTTGGGTTCAGTCCCTCGTCAGACAACAGACAGTAAACGCTATGTTAGATGTTGAGAACCCAGAGATGAATGCTAAGACCCACATGAACTTTCTCTTGAACAGTTGCAGCTGTCCTGCCACTCTCCTTGCTTCTCCCTTTAGTGATCCCATAAACCACCCCCCACACAGTAGCCAGGGGGATCTTTAAAAAATCATATACTAAATTATGTTCCAGTGACACCCTATTGCATTTGGGATAAAACCCAGACCCTAATTGACTTGGTCTCTGCTTCCCTCTCTGATCTCAGGTTAATATATCTTTTCTCCTTTCTTACCCCATGCCGACACTAACATTCCTGATGTTTCCTGAACTTTCCAAGCATGCCTTAGGGCCTTTCACTTGCTGTTCCCTTTGCTGTCTGGAATTTTCATTCCTCCTGGCTTGCTCCCTATTGTCATTCAGATCTCTGCTCCTTATTGTCACTGGGGGTGCGTCTTCCAAACCCTAAGTTCCAAGAGGGCAGGAAGTTTGTTCAGTTCACTGCAGTGTCTCTAGCACCTAGATTACTGTCTGGCCTACAGTAGGTATTTAAATGTCTGTGAAAGAGGGCCTCTGGGTGGCTCATTCAGTTAAGCCTCTCTTGGTTTTGGCTCAGGTCATGACCTCAGGGTCCTGGGATCCAGCCCCGAGCTGGCTCCATGCTCAGTGGGGAGTCTGCTGGAGATTCTCTCTCCCTCTCCCTCTGGCCCTCCCCCACTCGCACGTGTGTGCTTGCTCTCTCTCTCTCTCTCTCAAATAAATAAATAAACCTTAAAAAATAAAAATAAAAAAATAACTGTGAAAGAAAGGGGGAAAAGAAGAAAGGAAAGAAGGTAAAAAGGAAACCAATCTATCAATTCTATTAACGTATACTTATGTTCAGCTCTCTGGTCTCAGACCTAGTTTGTGGTGAAATGACTAAACACACCAAGAAGGTCGGAATTGTATGTACATACGGGACCATTATGGTGCCTCCCACAGGAAAATGGTGAAGAAGATTGAAATGAACCAGCATGAAAGTACACTTGCTCCTTCTGTGCCAAAACCAAGATGAAAAGAGAAGCTGTGGGGATCTGGCGTTGTGGTTCCTGCCTGAAAACCATCGCTTGTGCTCCCTGGCCCTACAGCACTGCTTCTGCCATCAAGGTAAAGGCGGCCATTGGAAGTCTGAAGGACTCAAGAGACCAGCAGAAGCTCCACCATTTGAGACATTGCTAGCCTATAATAAATGGGTTAATTTATGTAACCAAAATATGTACATATATAAAAATACATATGTTCACACAAAGTGGGACTGATATTAACAATTAAAAAAAATATGTATGTTCAGGGGCGCCTGGGTGGCTCAGTCATTAAGTGTCTGCCTTCGGCTCAGGTCGTGATCCCAGGGTCCTGGGACTGAGTCCCACATCGGGCTCCCTGCTCTGCGGGAAGCCTGCTTTTCCCTCTCCCACTCCCCCTGCTTGTGTTCCCTCTCTCACTATGTCTCTGTCTGTCAGATAAATAAATAAAATCTTTTAAAAAACAAAAAGTATGTTCAAAAATAGGGAGACAGTCCACAATAGCCAAACTGTGGAAAGAGCCAAGATGTCCATCGACAGATGAATGGATAAAGATGTGGTATATATACACAATGGAATATTATGCAGCCATCAAAAGGAATGAGATCTTGCCATTTGCAACGACGTGGATGGAACTGGAGGGTGTTATGCTGAGTGAAATAAGTCAATCAGAGAAAGACATGTATCATATGACCTCACTGATATGAGGAATTCTTAATCTCAGGAAACAAACTGAGGGTTGCTGGAGTGGTGGGGGGTGGGAGGGATGGCGTGGCTGGGTGATAGACATTGGGGAGGGTATGTGCTATGGTGAGCGCTGTGAATTGTGCAAGACTTTTGAATCACAGATCTGTACTTCTGAAACAAATAATGCAACATACGTTAAGAAAAAAGAAAAAGAAGAAGATAGCAGGAGGGGAAGAACGAAGGGGAGTAAGTCGGAGGGGGAGACGAACCATGAGAGATGACGGACTCTGAAAAACAAACTGAGGGTTCTAGAGGGGAGGAGGGTGGGGGATGGGTTAGCCTGGTGATGGGTATTAAAGAGGGCACATTCTGCATGGAGCACTGGGTGTTTTGCACAAACAATGAATCATGGAACACTGCATCAAGAACGAATGATGTAATGTATGGTGATTAACATAACAATAAAAAAATTTTAAAAAATACATAATAAAAAAAAACAAAAATAGGGAGGCAAACCATAAGAGATGCTGACCTTTAGGAAACAAACTGAGGGTAGCTGGAGGGGAGGTGGGTGAGGGGGATGGGGTAACTGGGGCATGGGCATTAAGGAGGGCATTAACAGATGAACACTGGGTGTTATATGCAACTGATGAATCACTGAATTCTACTACCGAAACTAATCATACAGAATATGTTAACTACATTGAATTTAAATAGAGAATTTTAAAGAAATAAAAAACAAAAAAATTTTTTAAATATGTACAAGTTGTTTGAGAACCCAAGAATAGAGCTTTTAACTCAAGGGGTATCGGAAAGGCTTCCAGGAGGAAGCAACTTCTGTGCTGGCTTTGGCAGGGTTTTGATGGCACCTGTTCCTAATCCCATACTGAGCGACATCTGGGAAACACTATTCTAGACTTAAAATCTAAGCCACATGAGCGACACGGTCTAGTAAAGAGTTTGTGAAGATGCCTGCTATCATTCCTTCCTGTTTGCACAAGCTACTCCTCCATCAAGAGGTAGACTTTATTTCCTCTTCCTTGAATTGGGGTGGCTCTTAGGACT